CTGCTCCCATCCCTGACAGAAAACCAAGTCCAATGTGTGTCCAGCACAATGGGTGGGGCCAGATATCTGTTGTATCATTTTATGCTTAAATAGATTAATACATTTTATGTCTTTGTATATGAGCAGGAATATTCAGACATATCCCATTCTATCTGGCATGTCTAGTTGAAGGGCAGTTGTAAGGACAAAAAAAAAAAGAGAATCCTAAATGGGAGTTTATGATATTCCCATAGGGCATATGGCAAAGAAAATGATTAATTATGCCTCTTATTTTCAATTTTCATTTTTTTGTAAAATTATAAGTTGTTTGTATAGCACTGTTTTGTATGCAATGCCATTTGCTATCATACTACTGTAGTATGTACATACTACATACTACATACTATCGTACCACCATAGAGAATGTCCTCCATAACAGAACCAAGTTACATCCACCCACACATTTCCTTATGGACCTGTTGGATATAGTTTTAGAGAAAAATTATTTCCGTTTTCAAAATCAATTTTACTTTCAGGTCTTTGGTGTGGCAATGGGCAGTCCATTGGCCCCCTCAATTGCCAATTTATTTATGGCAAATTTAGAGAACACTGTATTATTAAATCCATCTTTAAATATGTATCACACCAATATTATATATTATGGACGATTTATTGATGACATATTCATGGTATTTAAATCAACCGAGGCCACAGTAGGTTTCTCTAATTGGATCAACACCATACATACGTCTATTAAGTTCACCAGTCATTTCAACCTGTCACATATTAATTTTCTGGATGTTACAGTCTATAAAGATCACAATAAACTTTTAGTCAAGAACTTTAGAAAACCCACAGATAAAAATTCTTATCTTCATTACAACAGCTTCCACCACTTTAGTTTAAAAACCAATCTTCCATTTTCACAGCTCCTCAGACTTAAACGGAACTCAAGCACCAAGGAACAGTTTATTCAGGAAAGTGTCACTTTAAGCCATGAGTTCAGAAATAGAGGCTACCCCAAACATGTAATAAGGAAAGCATTAACCAAAGCTGATAAAATAGATAGGACTACCTTACTGAAAGAATGCCCCAAACCCATAAAAAATCAAATTATTTGGACACAAGAACTATCGCACTATTCCAAACAGATTACCAGAATAAAAATATAAAAACTACATAAAAACTACATAAAAACTCCAACCATCACCCAAGTCAAAAAAGAAGCACCATTAAAGCCTTGGCAGACCGTGCAACAGCAGAGGGTCCAAAAGGACTCCCAGACTCTTTACCAATGATGACGGGCATAGCGCCTCACCATCCAGGGTAGGCAGCTGGATATCCCCACTGCCCAGGTGACCCAGCCATAGGATCTCTGTCTTTGCCGGATTCACCCTAAACCTGTTGGCACGCAGCCATCCAGTAACGGCCTCAAGGCATTGATGAAAATTATTGGGTACAGAGTCTGGTCAGCTTTCCATCTTCAACATAAGCTGAGTGTCATCAGCGTACTGGTAACACTCAAGCCCAAAACCTCGAACCAGCTGAGCAAGTGGTCGCATATAAATGTTAAACAACAGAGGGGAGAGAATGGCCCCCTAAGGAACCCCACAAGACAGAGGGGACCTCTCAGAGACCAGGCCTCCCCTCTTCACTCGCTGCCCACAGTTATGAAGAAAGGAGGACAGCCAATTTAAAGCTGTCCCCCTGACTCCAACAGCAGCAAGGCGGTGCATGAAAAGATTGTGGTCGACTGTGTCAAATGCTGCTGTGAGATCCAATAACACTAGCAGTGCCGACCCGCCCTGGTCAAGCTGGCATCGAAGGTGATCTGTGAGGTTCTCACAACCTCTGAGGATGCTTGCCATAGATGCAGGCAAAACATCAGGAGAGAATGCCTCTAGAACATGGCATATAGCCCGAAAAAACCCACAATACCCAGTAATTCCAGCCATGAAAATTTTCAACAATACAGCAAATAGGTTCTTTACTACTACTACTACTACTACTGCTGCTGCTGCTGCTGCTCCTCCTCCTCCACCTCTTCCTGCTACTGCTAGTACTACTTGTTGCTATGTCTTCAAATTATCTCTCTTATTGTGAACCTCAGGCAAACGAATCATGGGATTTTCTGAGCCTGTGTGGCACTCTCATAGTTACCTAGTGGCTTTGCATGGCTGAGTGGGGAACTGAACCTTGGTTTCCACAATTTTAGTTCAACATTCAAACCATCACAAAATGCCAACTTTACCACAGGACTGCACCAAAATAAAATGATGCATACTTGAAAATAATACATAATATAAAACAGGGGTCCACAAACGTTTTAAACAGAGGGCCAGGTCATCGTCCCTCAAACCATTGGAGGGCCGGATTATAATTTGAAAAAAAATAAATGAATTCCTATGCACACTGCACATATCTTATTTGTAGTGCAAAAACACTTTAAAACAATACAATAATTAAAATGAAGATCAATTTTAACAAATATAAACTTATTAGTATTTCAATGGGAAGTGTGGGCCTGCTTTTGGCTGATGAGATAGGATTGTTGCTGTTGTTGTTGTTGTTGTTGTTGTGTGCTTTCAAGTCATTTCAGACTTAGGTTGACCCTGAGTGAGGGCCGGGTAAATGACCTTGGAGGGCCGTATCCGGCCCCCGGGCCATAGTTTGAGGACCCCTGATATAAAACATCTAACACCATGCCTGCAACAACATTTCTGCTCTTCCCTTTTTCTCTGTAGCTCACTGCATTACTTAAAAAACCTATTCCAGAGGGTCTTCTGGAAGGGTTTGAAGAATATTCCATCACCGAATTCTGCTGACAGAAGCAACACATTCTTCTAGATTTTCCTAGGAACTGCCCCACTGGATCGGCTGGCATGCAGAATTTTCACAGTGTGTTTGAACAGGGAAGGTCCGCATAGCTGCCAGCGTTTAAATTCTACACTTCATTATATAGACCTCCCACTGTGGAATTTGATCTAGCTACTTGCTACAGCAATTCATCCATGGAATCCACTTTTTAAAATGTCTGCACAAAAATATTCACACACATGCATGTGTATATGTGTGTGTGTGTGTGTTATATATATATAAAACACACTCTAAATATATATATATCTCAAGCAGTTTTGAAGGAAAGGTTTTTTACATCTAAAATGAGTATGACCAAGAACTGGAAGTATACTCCCAATAATCACTATTTAAATATCCATTCAAACAGCAGTTTCTTTACTCTATAATCTGTTCACAGCTGCGAGAGGTCAGGGGGCAAGGCAGCTGCAACTTAGATTATAACACATTTGCTTCTCAGTTTTCCAGTACTGCCACTGGGATTTTTGACATGTGCCTTCTATTACTTGACTTAATGGACCTGATTCGTGGCCTGCTTATAAGGGGCCTAATGGGAAAGTTCCTAGCACGGTGAGCTTTGTAGAATAGTGGAAATAACCCCACATATCGCAATTCGGTGTGTGCCGACAGGTAATTTTCAATGGTAAGCAAACAGTATTTTGATGCTCCCTCCCCCAAACAATCACCGATATATATTTTCTGTTCGTCGTGGGAGTTCTGTGTGCCATTTCTGGTTCAATTCCATCATTGGTGGAGTTCAGAATGCTCTTTGATTGTAGGTGAACTATACATCCCAGTAACTACAACTCGCATATGTCAAGGTCTATTTTCCCCCAAGAGCACCTCTGGGCAAAATCAACTATACTGCGAATGCTTACTTTGCGTAATGGGTTGAGCCACCCCTGTGTGCCGACAATGGATGGTTCTAGAAAGATGGTTTTTAACTTAGAAATATTATTTTTGTAATATTACATTTGCTTTTTCACTACATTGTAAATAGCCCTCTGCAGTGATGGTGCAATATAACTGCCAAATAGGACTATACTTAAAATAAGTACCATTTTACAAGTTAAGCCTAAGGCAACCATTCCTCTTTCACTAAAATTACAAGTGAGACTTTTCTTGTTACTGTTTCAAAGTCTTTTTTAACCTGGAAAGGGAGAAAATCATTCCCGAATCAGAAGGAGCGAACATTTCCACAACTGATATCTGTTTGGAAAACTATGTGGGCCTTCTGAGGTCCCCAAGGCTACGGAACTTGGCGCCAGTTGTAATGAGAGGAAGATCGTAAAAGGAAACCCTGGAACCATCCCATTCACTCTGTTCACACATTGTGCCTTAGGAGATAGTTTACTAATACGGTAAGCTCAAAATAGTTCTCATAACTAAAAAAAAATGAGAGTTTTGAAATGTTACTTTTTGACTACAACTCTCAGAGAATCTTCTTTCCAACAAGGCTATATTAACTGGAGGTTTGAAGAAGCTGTTGTGTAAAAAAGGAACTGTTCCAAACTTTGCAGGTAAAAAACCACAGTTGACTGTTCTGACCATATGTAGGGTTTCGTCCTCCTGGATAACTGTCCCCAGTAGAACAAAACAGCCTTACCCTGTTATCCTCTTGTATCTCCCAGTCACTGGAGAAACTTATGGCAGGTTGCCCTTGAGTGCAGTTGGAAAACTGGAAGAGACTGGAAAACATCCGCCTGTTTTCCTGGGTATCTGGAAATATGGCATCCTGGAAATTGACTCCGTGTGGAAGGAGGTTATAATTCTCATCCATTCTGGAGAGGGAAAGCAGGGATAATGGGTAAGTAACTTCTATTACAAACTGCCCACTCTTCTGTAGAACATAACAGACACTTTTCTTTAGCCATTACTACAGACGTCACTATACAGACAGTCCCTAAGTTACAAACAGGATGGTTTCTGTATTGCGAAGGCTTTCATGGTTGGAATCACTGGTTGTTGTAGGTTTTTTGGGCTATATGGCCATGTTCTAGAAGCATTCTCTCTTGATGTAATAATAATAATAATAATAATAATAATAATAATAATAATAATAATAACAATAATAATAATAATACTTTATTTGTACCCTGCTACCATCTCCCCAAGGGACTCGGTGCAGCTTACATGAGGCCGAGCCCAAACACAACAATACAAGCAATAATAACAATACAAGCAATAAAAAAATACATAGACAATAAGAAACAACATTATCAATAAGACAACACATAATTAAAAACAGTGGGAAGGCTAAATGTTAGGTTAAAATTGGAAATAATGCTGGGACATGAACGGAAGGTGATACTGGTGTTTGTGGAAGGGCATACGAGCAGACCTAAAAAAATGTAAAGTGCTTTGGAGGACAAAGTGCTATGGGATCAGTATTCCGGGAAGGCACACTGGAACAGCCATGTCTTCAAGCTCCTCCAGAAGACTGCCAAAGTTGAAGCCTGTCTGATGTCTTTAGGGAGTGAGTTCCAGAGTCGAGGGGCCACCACCGAAAAAAGGCCCTCTCTCTTGTCCCCACCAATCGCGCCTGCGATGCTGGTGGGATCGATATCGGGGCCTCTCCGGAAGATCGAAGGGATCGTGTGGGTTCGTATACAGAGATGTGATCACGCAGGTAGGTGGGTCCCAAACTGTTCAGGGCTTTGTAGGTAAGAACCTGCACCTTGAATTGGGTCCAGTAGATGAATGGCAGCCAGTGGACCTCCTTGAACAGGAGGGATGACCATCCACGGCAGGCATCCTCAGAGGTTGTGAAGATAGGTTCTGTAGACGTATTCTTAAGGTGAATCTCTATGTAAGTTGGAACAGGTACATTTTGTAAGTGTAACTCCAGCTATATACACGTATAAGGAAGGGTTAGCACCCCTGTAGAGTTTGCTTTGCTGTCCGTGCCCCTGTTCAGAAGATTTCACCTTCCTTTCTGTCCATGTGATAACTGGATTTTGAAAAAAACATTGTTGTTGCAGAAACAAGAATTGATAAGAATGATTCACCAATTCTTGTTTCTGCAACAAGCAAATTTTCCCCATTATAACTCTTTCAAGAGTAAATTTCCCTTCCAAGGGATAGATTTCTCTCACTTCCTGTTATTCCCACCTCCTTTCTTAACTATGAATCCTTTGTAAGTTGGGGACTGCCTATACTTTACTATTTAGCCATTTTTCTCCAGGAGTTCATTAGAAGCTACTCTAGTACAGGGCCAACTCTACCATTAGGCAGAAATTATGTGAGTGTTCCAAGAAGCCAGAGGCAAACATAGCAGCCTTTTAACTATTCCTCCTGGATTCCTCCCTGTAGTCATGTTGAGCAAGGCAATGGAGAGATCAGAGCTTGGAGAAATTACTTTATTTGGACCGGAAGTTCTCAAACTTTTTCAGTCACAGGCTTTTTGAAGCAAAAGTTTCTAATGGAGCTCCAAGAAATGTGTGTATGTATGTATATGTATATGTATATGTATATATGTGTGTGTGTGTATATATATATATATATATACACACACACACACACACACACACACACGAGGGGTATTTTTAAAGTAAGTTCTGTTTTGTTGTAGACACTAGTAGTTCGCGCGCATACCGCAACGAGCACGTGCGTCGTGTACCGGCATGCCTCGGGAACAACTATGCTCAGTTTCCGCTCTGTAGCTAACCTGTACGGTTCTGTTCTGTGCTTTAAAAATGTTTAAGACTATCAACTCACCCTCCGCATGTGAGGTTCATTCAGTGATACGGTTTTTGTCAGCAAGGAACCTGCCTGCTGCAGAAATTCATCGACAGATTTGTGAAGTGTACGGTGATACTGTTATGAGTGAAAGCAAAGTGCGTAAGTGGGTACGACAATTCAAAGATGGCCGTGACAACGTCCATGATGAGGACCGCTCCGGTCCCTTCTTTGATTACAGACGATTTGATTTGATCGCACACTCAAATCTTTGGTTTTTGTGGTCCTCTGTTAGGAGTTTCGGGACCCAACAGGAGCACAGTTTCCTAAACTTTAGGTGTTCAGAAACAATGTTGTAAAGCACTGATCTCGACACGTCAGGAAATTCGTTTGAGAGACCTGTTATTGTGAAGCGCCTGTTCTCACGAATCCTCGCTTCAACTGAAGCCACCAAATCGTCTGTAATCAAAGAAGCGGTCCTCAACGGCAAGGCTGCATTCTCTCACCCAACCTTTTTAACTTGTATGCAGAACACATCATGCGATGTGCGGGGCTTGATGAATGCAAGGCTGGGGTGAAAATTGCTGGAAGAAACATTAACAACCTCAGATATGCAGATGACACCACTCTGATAGCCGAAAGCGAGGAGGAGCTGAGGAGCCTTCTAATCAAGGTGAAAGAAGAAAGCGCAAAAGCGGGTTGCAGCTAAACGTCAAAAAAACCAAGATTATGGCAACAAGAATGATTGACAACTGGAAAATAGAAGGAGAAACCGTGGAGGCCGTGACAGACTTTGTATTTCTAGGGGCAAAGATTACTGCAGATGCAGACTGTAGCCAGGAAATCAGAAGACGCTTACTTCTTGGGAGGAGAGCAATGTCCAGTCTCGATAAAATAGTGAAGAGTAGAGACATCAGACTGGCAACAAAGATCCGCCTAGGCAAAGCCATGGTATTCCCTGTAGTCACCTACGGATGTGAGAGCTGGACCTTAGGGAAGGCTGAGCGAAGGAAGATCGATGCTTTTGAGCTGTGGTGTTGGAGGAAAGTGCTGAGAGTGCCTTGGACTGCGAGAAGATCCAACCAGTCCATCCTCCAGGAAATAAAGCCCGACTGCTCATTGGAGGGAAAGATACTAGAGACAAAGTTGAAGTACTTTGGCCACATCATGAGGAGACAGGAAAGCCTAGAGAAGACAATGATGCTGGGGAAAGTGGAAGGCAAAAGGAAGAGGGGCCGACCAAGGGCAAGATGGATGGATGGCATCCTTGAAGTGACTGGACTGACCTTGAGGGAGCTGGGGGTGGTAACGGCCGACAGGGAGCTCTGGCGTGGGCTGGTCCATGAGGTCACGAAGAGTCGGAGACGACTGAACGAATGAACAACAAAATGGTATATGATATATATATTACTATATGATATATATATTACTATATATATATATATATATATATATATATATTAAATTGACTCATAGAATAGAGTTAGAAAGGACTCTACCAGGGAGAACAGACAGGAAGGAAGGAGAGAAGAAAGGAGGGAGGGAAAAAGGGAAGGAATGAAGGAGGGAAAGGGGGAAGGAAGGAAGGAGAGAAGGAGGGAGGAAGGAGAGAAGGAAGGAAAGAAAAAGGTAGAGAAGGAAGAGGAGAAAGTTGAAAGGAAAGAAAAAGGGAAGGAAAGGCAGGAAAGAGGTAAAGAAAGAAGGAGAAAAGGAAATAAAAAGTGAAAGAAGGAAGGAAACAGGGAGGGAAGAAAGGAGACAAAAGAAGAAGTAGAGAAAGGGGGAGGAAAGGAAGGGAAGAGAGAAGGAAGGATGAAACCAAAGAGCAAAAGAAGGAATGAAAGAAAGAGGCAGAGAAGGAAGAAAGGAGAGAAAGGGGAAGGAAAAAAAGGGGGGGGGAGGAATAGGTAGGTATCTCTCTTTCATAATAATCTAGATATCTACCTCTACTTCGAAAACTCTTAATATAGGCCACAGCAATGCGTGGCAGGGCAAAGCTAGTAAGGTATAAAATACAGTACAGACCATAGAAAAGGGAGCTTCACAACTTTCATAATGTCTTGCCATTGGCCATGTTGACTCGGATTCTGGGAGTTGGAGTCTAGAACATCTGGAAGGCCAGTTCCTCCCCTGTTGTATAGGGCTATTTTCAAAAGCCTGCCCTGACCTCCTTTACAGATAACTATCACAAATGAAAGCATTTGTGCTATTAACACAACACGCAGTAGAACAGTATGTTCTAAAAACAGGACTTTGCTTTCCGGTTTGAATCAAACCCTTACAAAACTATCCCATTGTGATATAAGTCTTGCCTCTCCTGGCATCTGTGCATTAATTTCCAGAAATCATCCCAAATTACTGAAATGTTACATTGGAATGGGCTCTTTGATGACTTATGGAAACTGGCACCACTTAAAGACACACAAACCACAAAACCACTTCCAAATGTGCACTCTCTGTAGAAGAAAAAATTAGTGTATTATGCTCACTCTTTTTCTCGATTGGAAATACGAAACAAACATAATATATTGTCGAAGGCTTTCATGGCCGGAATCACTGGGTTTTTGTAGGTTTTTTCGGGCTATATGACCATGGTCTAGAGCAGGGGTCCTCAAACTTTTTAAACAGAGGGCCAAATTATATTTTGGAAAAAAAATGAATGAATTTCTATGCACACTGCACATATCTTATTTGTAGTGCAAAAGACGCATAAAACAATACCATAATTAAAATGAAGAACAATTTTAACAAATATGAACTTATTAGTATTTCAGTGGAAAGTGTGGGCCTACTTTTGGCTGATGAGATCGGATTGTTGTTGTTATTGTGTGGTTTCAAGTAATTTCAGACTTAGGTTGACCCTGAGCGAGGGCCGGGTAAATGACCTTGGAGGGCCGCATCCGGCTCCCGGGCCTTAGTTTGAGGACCCCTGGTCTAGAGGCATTCTCTCTCCATAGATGCAGGCGAAACGTCAGGAGAGAATGCCCCTAGGCCATGGCCATATAGCCCAAAAAAAACTACAACAACTCAAACACAATATATTGAAAATAAAATAATCTGTTGTTAGAAAGAGACAGTGTTTAAACTGGAATTTAAACTTTCCAGTACAACACTAATACAGTGGCTTAAAGCACTGAGCTGTTGAACTTATTGACTGAAAGGTCGCAGGTTCAAATCCGGGGAGCGGCATGAGCACCCGCTATTAGCCCCAACTTCTGCCAACCTAGCAGTTCAAAAGCATGCAAATGTGAGTAGATCAATAGGTACCGCTCCTGCGGGAAGGTAACAGCGCTCCTTGCAGTCATGCTGGCCACATGACCTTGGAGGTGTCTATAGACGACGCCAGCTCTTCAGCTTAGAAATGGAGATGAGCACCACGCCCCACAGTTGGACACGACTGGACTTAATGTCAGGGGAAAACCTTTAGCTTTATATATATTAAATGTAGTGGTAATGAATAACTGTTAAACGCATGCGTAGCTTGAAAAATTCTAATCCAGTTTTTATCAATCTTTTGCTCTCGAAATCCTCATTCATGTTGTTCACTGATGGCAGAATGGCACTTTGCACATGCTCAAATAAAATACTTTACTTACAGTTTACATACAATGAGGAACAGCTCAAGTGGCTGGTCTGGCAACTGAATTATCCGAACCTTCCCATCTTTTGACCTATGGTCACTAAGAGCATCTACATAGTGGAATTAATGCAATTCCACAGAGATAATAATATTTCCCTGTTTTATAAAGTTGATGTTAATTTTGGATGGGTAACCTATCACCTTTCAGATAAATCATAGCCTGCATTGCTGATAGAGAGAGATGTTGAGAATTGTAGAATTAATGAATCACAGAATCATAGAGTTGGAAGAGACCACATGGGCCATCTATCCCAACCCCCTGCCATGCTGGAAAAGCACAGTCAAAGCACCCCTGACAGATGGGCATTCAGCCTCTGTTTAAAAGCTTCCAAGAAAGGATCTTCCACCACACTCCGAGGCAGAGAGTTCCACTGTTGAACACAGCTCTTACAGTCAGGAAATTCTTCTGAATATTCAGTTAGAATATCCTTTCCTATAATTTGAACCCATTGCTCCAAGTCCTAGTTGCCAGGGCAGCAGAAAACAAGTCTGATCCCTCTTCCTCATGACATATATTTCAGTACAATCCCATTTGGAGGGCTACTGATTTCTAACCCAGTGTTTCTCAACCTTGGGGTCAGGGCCCCTGGGGGGGTCGTGAAGGGGTGTCAGAAGGGTCGCCCAAACACTGTTAGAAAACACAGTATTTTCTATTGGTTATGGAGGTTCTGTGTGGGAAGTTTGGCCCAATTCTATCATTGGTGGGATTCAGAATGCTCTTTGATTGTACGTGAACTATAAATCCCAGCAACGACAACCCCCAAATGTCAAGGATGATTTTCCCCAAACTCCACCAGTGTTCACATTTGGGCATATTGAGTATTTGTGCCAAGTTTAGTCCAGATCCATCCTTACTTTAAATAACTTCCTCCTATTTATCTCATTAGAGCTTTTTAACTGTTTTATCCTGTACATGTGGCCCGCCCACTGTTATCGTGATTGTGTTTATTGGAATGTTTTTCTTCTTTCTTTCTTCTATGTAATTTTGATGGTAATTGTTGGTTATGTTTTTGGTTTTGTTTCATTGTAATGTTGTCCGGGCTTGGCCCCATGTAAGCCGCTCCGAGTCCCCATCGGGGAGATGGTGGCGGGGTATAAATAAAGATTATTATTATTATTATTATTATTATTATTATTATTATTTGAGCTTACAGTGCTCTCTGGATGTAGGTGAACCACAACATCCAAAACTCAAGGTCAATGCCCACCAAACCCTTCCTGTTGGTCATGGGAGTTCTGTGTGCCAAGTTTGGTTCAATTCCATCCTTGCTGGAGTTCAGAATACTCTTTGGTTGTAGGTTAACCTTGGGAAGTCTGACTTGGCCATGGTAGTACACGCTCTGGTTACATCCCGTATAGACTACTGCAATGCGCTCTATGTGGGGTTGCCTTTGAAGACAGTCCGGAAGCTTCAATTAGTCCAACGAACGGCAGCCAGATTGCTAACAGGAGTGGCTCTCAGGGAGCATACAACCCCCCTGTTGCGTCAACTCCACTGGTTGCCAGTTTGCTACCGGGCCCAATTCAAAGTGCTGGTCTTGGCCTATAAAGCCCTAAATGGTTCTGGCCCAACTTACCTGTCCGAACATATCTCCCCTTATGAACCATCAAGGACCTTGAGATCGTCCAGGGAGGCACTGCTCTCGGTCCCGCTTTCGTCTCGGGTACGTTTGGCAGGGATGAGAGACAGGGCCTTCTCAGCGGTGGCCCCCCGGCTATGGAACACCCTCCCTAGAGGAATTAGATCTGCTCCCTCCCTCCTCACATTTCGGAAGCAAGTCAAAACATGGCTGTTTGAGCAAGCGTTCCCAAACACAGAGTAATGGATATGGATAAATGATATAGGAAATGGACAATTGACAATGGAACTGGACAATGCTTGACAATAAGGCAGTGGTTCTCAACCTGGGGTCCCCAGATGTTTTTGGCCTTCAACTCCCAGAAATCCTAACAGCTGGTAAACTGGATGGGATTTCTGGGAGTTGTAGGCCAAAAACATCTGGGGACCCCAGGTTGAGAACCACTGATCCAGACACTATACTCCTGTTTATTCAGGCCAAAATCCCACTGGTTTTTTTTGTTTTGGAAACGCCTTGAGTCGCCGATATGGCTGAGAAAGGCGTTCAGAATGCTCTTTGATAGGTGAACTATAAATCCCAACAACTACAACTCCCAAATGACAAAATCAATCCCCCCCCAACCCCACCAGTATTCAAATTTGGGTGTATCAAGTATGTGTGCCAAATTTGGTCTAGTGAATGAAAATACATCCTGCATATCAGATATTTACATTAAATTCATGACAGTAGTAAAATTACAGTTGTAAAGTAGCAACAAAAATAATTTTATGACTGGGGGGTCATCACAACATGAGGAACTGTATTAAGGGGCCGCGGCATTAGGAAGGTTGAGAAACAGTGGTCTAACCCATTTGTAAAAACAACCACGTCAAAGCATACGAAATATGTTCGCTAATAAACTCTATGTAAAAGTTTGGGGTGTATCAACAATATTGCTGTTACATTTTGTATGATCTGCTGACCAGCCACTGCCAGAAGGGACAGAGAGTTTCATCTATGCTGATGATCGTGCCATTACCGCTCAAGCAGGGTGCTTTGAGATGGTTGAACAGAAGCTCTCCGAAGCTCTAGGTGCTCTTACTGCCTATTACAGGGAAAACCAGCTGATCCCTAATCCATCTAAAACACAGACATGTGCCTTTCACCTTAAGAACAGACAAGCATCCCGAGCTCTGAGGATCATCTGGGAAGGAATCCCACTGGAGCATTGCAGCGCACCCAAATACCTGGGAGTCACTCTGGACCATGCTCTGACCTACAAGAAGCACTGCCTGAACATCAAACAAAAAGTGGGTGCTAGAAACAATATCATACGAAAGCTGACTGGCACAACCTGGGGATCACAACCAGATACAGTGAAGACATCTGCCCTTGCGCTATGCTACTCTGCTGCTGAGTACACATGCCCAGTGTGGAACACATCTCACCACACTAATTGCAAAATCTGTGGGGTTTTTTTAATCCTGTTTGTTTGTTTTGTTCTGTTAGAAATGTAATACAATGTTCTGGTTGTGGATGACACGATAAATAAATAAATAAAATAAATTTTGTGTGATCTCAAACCACACGAGCATTATTGTCAAACACACACCAGCGTTGGGAATGTCCACGCTGTCTGGGCATCCAGGGAGATGGAGCCAATAAAGAAAAAGAACCGTTTCCAAGTTGTGACACATGTGCATGTGTTCGTGCCGAGTCTGGTTGATGTACTCACCTGAGGAAGAAGAAGTAAGCATAATCCTGCATGACGGTGTGAGAGTGGCAAGAGAAATACCCCAGGCCTGTCAAGTTCAGCCTGGATCCAGCAGGGACTTCCAGCATGCTCCCCCAAGCCTGGTCGCACAGCATCTCAATCTCGGCTGAGTAAAAGAGCCCTCCGTCCGTGGCCTCATACTGCCAGGGCAAGTAGTTGTACATGCTGTACATATCCTGGTGCAGTGCCAAAACCTTGGCATAGACAATGATTTCTGCCAGCTCGGCCCGACAGCTTTCACTCAAGGGTCTCCAGTCCGAGGGCAGCTGACAGCCCAAACCTGGACGAAGTAGACTTCCTAGGCAAAGGAGGGCAAGAAAGCAGAGCAGCAGGGTTTGCAGCATGATGGATGAGAGAGAAAGAGAGGAGGATGCAGCAGGCTGCACTCTGGATGCTAAAGTTTCCCAAGTGCGTAAGAAGAAAGAAAGAAAAGACACAGATACACACACAGAGGCACAAAACCTGAGGCTAAGTTTATGAAACAAGATCTCTGTGAAATGCAACAACTGAATTGGCAAGAGACTGGGGGCCTTGTGTTCCCCAGTGGCTCTGAGGCAAACCAATCGGATCCCTTGATCAAAGGGAAGGAGGAGCAGAAACAAGAGACAGAAGTTCGGCTGCTGCTGCACACTCCCAGGGACCCCGCACAAACAGTAGCAGTAGCTGCAGCAGGATGAAGATCTGTAGGCTGTCCCACACCAGAGCTCAAGGAAAGTGTCTTTTTTGGGATCGCAGTTTCCAAAATCTTCCAGCATTGCAACTTATAAATTGTGGTTCTGCCTTCCAAAGAATAACTTTTCCAAAGTGATTAATCTGTAATCTGTTAAGCGGACGAACCCAGAGGGTACTCACCAATGCTTCGTCTTCATCCTGGAAAGAAGTGACGAGTGGAGTGCCGCAGGGTTCCGTCCTGGTCCTGGTCCTGTTCAACATCTTTATTAATGACTTAGATCAGTGTTTCTCAACCTGGGGGTCGGGACCCCTGAGGGGGTCGCGAGAGGCTGTCAGAGGGGTCGCCAAAGACCATAACAAAACACAGTATTTTCTGATGGTCATGGGAATTCCATGTGGGAAGTTTGAGCCAATTCTATCGTTGGTGGAGTTCGGAATGTTCTTTGATTGTAATGAATTATAAATCCCAGCAACTACAACTCCCAAATGTCAAGACCTATTTTCCCCAGGCTCCACCAGTGTTCACGTTTGCGCATATTAAGTATTCGTGCCAAGTTTGGTCCAGAACCACCATTGTATGAGTCCACAGTGCTTTCTGGATATAGGTGAACTACAACTCCCAAACTCAAGGTCAATACCCGCCAAACCCTTCTTGTATTTTCTGTTGGTCATGGGAATCCTGTGTGCCAAATTTGGTTCAATTCCATCATTGGTGGAGTTCCGAATGCTCTTTGATTATAAGTGAACTACAACTCCCAAACTCAAGGTCTATGCCCCAAACCTTCCAGTGTTTTTCATTGGTCATGGGAGCCAAGTTTGGTCCAGATCCACCATTGCATGAGCCCACAGTGCTCTCTGGATATAGGTGAACTACAACTCCCAAACTCAAGGTCAATGCCCATCAAACCCTTCCAGTGTTTTCCATTGGTCATGGGAGCCAAGTTTGGTTCAAATCCATCGCTGGTGGAGTTCAGAATGCTCTTTGATTATAAGTGAACTATAAATCCCAGCAACTACAACTCCCAAATTACAAAATCAATCCTCCCCCAACCCCACTAACATTCACATTTGGGTGTATTGGGTATTTGTGCCCAGTTTGGTCCAGTGAATGAAAATGCATCCTGCATATTTACATTATGATTTATAACAGTAGTAAAATGACTGTTATGAAGTAGCAACAAAAACAATGTTATGGTTGGGGGGTCACCACCACATGAGGGACTCTATTAAGGGGTCGCGGCATTAGGAAGGTTGAGAACCACTGACGTAGATGAAGGGTTAGAAGGCATGATCATCAAGTTTGCAGACGACACCAAATTGGGAGGGATAGCCAATACTTCACTTTCACTTCACTTTATTTCTTAATTAGTCGCTCTCCACCAAGGTCCTCCGAGCGACTTACAATCTAAAATAGCATTTACACAATATAAAAACATTCAACAGTGACTATTTGGCAAATTAGATCTGATTACTTAAATGCACAACCAAACAGCCAAGTCTTGAGTGCCTTTACAAAAGGTCGCAACTCCGACATTGCTCTAATGTATGGAGGCAATGAGTTCCACAGAATTGGAGCATAGGTCGAAAAAGCTCTACGCCTTGTAGCTTCCAGGTGTACCTCCCTAGGGCCTAGTATGTATAGGAGATTTTCCTGGGTGGATCGAGGTGACCACTGAGGGAGAAAAGGAATGAGGCGGGCCCTAAGATATGAAGGTCCTTGGCCATTTTGAGCTCTAAATGTCAGGATCAGTATCTTGTAAGAGATCTGATGTTCTATTGGTAGCCAATGCAGTTGTTGCAGAATCGGTGTAATATGGGATCTTATAGATGATCCCGCTAGCAGCCTGGCCGCTGCATTTTGGACCATCCGAATCTTCTAGGTTGTTGACTTTGGAAGGCCGGCATATAAGGCGTTGCAATAGTCCAACCTCATGGTGACTGTTGCATGGATTACTGTTGCCAGTGCTTCTACCGAAAGGTAGGATGCCAATTTCCTTGCCTGGCGAAGATGAAAAAAGGCCTGCTTCCTTATGGCAGTGATCTGGGCCTCCATCGTCAGCGATGAGTCCAACACAATTGGGGGCTTTTAACAGTGGCAGACAGAACCAGAGCTTCCCCATCGAAACCAGGCAGAGACTGGATTAATTCTGGCGGCTGGCCGGGCCAGATACCTCAGAAGACGGGAGCAGAATTCAAAACAATCTTAACAGATTAGACAGATTGGCCAAAACTAACAAAATGAAGTTCAACAGGGACAAATGCAAGATACTCAACTTAGGCAGGAAAACGAAATGCAAAGATACAGAATGGGGGACAATGCCTGGCTCGAGAGCAGTACGTGTGAAAAAGATCTTGGAGTCCTCGTGGACAACAAGTTAAACATGAGCCAACAATGTGATGTGGCGGCAAAAAAAGCAATGGGATTTTGGCCTGCATCAATAGGAGCATAGTCTAGATATAGGGAAGTCATGCTACCCCTCTATTCTGCTTTGGTTAGACCACACCTGGAATATTGTGTCCAATTCTGGGCACCACAATTCAAGAGAGATATTGACAAGCTGGAATGTGTCCAGAGGACGGTGACTAAAATGATCAAGGGTCTGGAGAACAAGCCCTATGAGGAGCGGCTTAAGGAGCTGGGCATGTTTAGCCTGAAGAAGAGAAGGCTGAGAGGAGATATGAGCCATGTATAAATATGTGAGAGGAAGCCACAGGGAGGAGGGAGCAAGCTTGTTTTCTGCTTCCCTGGAGACTAGGACGCGGAACAATGGATTCAAACTACAAGAAAGGAGATTCCATCTGAACATGAGGAAGAACTTCCTGACTGTGAGAGCCGTTCAGCAGTGGAACTCTCTGCCCCGGAGTGTGGCAGAGGCTCCTTCTTTGGAAGCTTTTAAACAGAGGCTGGATGGCCATCTGTCAGGGGTGACTTGAATGCAATATTCCTGCTTCTTGGCAGGGGGTTGGACTGGATGGCCCATGAGGTCTCTTCCAACTCTTTGATTCTATGATTCTATGATTCTGTCAGCCAAACTATCCCTGGATTAAATGCTTTATTAGTTCATACAAGAAAAGCAAAGATGAGAAAAGAAAATGGATGAGCTAAAAAAAGAAGGTGAGGGCGAATATAGAGTTTTGAGAGGAGAGTGGAAGGAACGAAGCATCAAACACTTTTAGTAAAGCATAGTGCAGAATTAGGTCCTCTTACAAACAGAAAAATGCAACGCCAGCCATTCTCATATCTGGGTTGATATATAGCAGGATAGGCCAATGGTGAAGATCTGTGGGAGCTGGAGCCCACAAAATCTGGAGAGTCAAAAATCCTCCAGCCATACCATACAGCATTAATGATGAATACTCGCCAATAAAGCTGTCTTTTGCTGTGAATTTATTTTATCACCAATAAAACTGCCAACTGTCACTATATCTTGCAACAATGGATTCCAAAAGTGAATTATAGACTGGATAAACTTGTAATGTCTTTGATCCCTCTTGAGTTTCTACAACTGACCTTGAATTTTAATGGTATGAGAGAGGGAGGGAGAAATATAAATAAATGCACATACACACACATAGTAGTCCAACTTTCCACATCACTTGTAATTTCATATGATGCCTCTCCCTTAAGCTTTCTTTTTTCTAAACAAAAATCCCAAATGCTGTTATGTTGTCCCATTTTGTTATTCTGTCCAAATCTGGAAATAATAATAATAATAATAATAATAATAATAATAATAATAATAGTGCTGGTTCAGCTGCACCAGAAGCTCCCACTTTATTTGCCTTGTATTAAGTGTTTGCTTACAGCCCAAGGCTTGGGATTCTGCAGCAGGGTGGCTTCCTGTTAAAGTTTGCAGTTATAGGGCAGTCCATCATCGTTATGTTTAGTTCCGCCCCCTGTTCAGGACAATTGAGAAGGGAAGGGAGCCATTTTTAGTCAGTCTCAGCAAGGAAAGTCAATGTACAGGACGTGTACAGACTTCTCCTGTACAAAGGCTTCAACCCTTAAGACCTCCTATGGGAAACCAGTCTTAAGACCAAAAGGATTCCCAAAGATTCCCAGGGAAACAGCCCTAAAGCTCTGAGGAATTTCGGAGGGGAAAACAGCTTTGAATATCTAAGAACTCCAGCCGAAGTGACTACAGGCCTACTGGTAGGTCCACTCGGTGCTTTGAGATGCAGTTCAACCCGGTAGTGGAGCCCACATCAGTTAGGTTTAGGTTCATTTTAAGCTTTTAAACAGAGACTGGATGGCCATCTGTCAGGGGTGCTTTGAATGCAACATTCCTGCTTCTTGGCAGGGGGTTGGACTGGATGACCCATGAGGTCTCTTCCAACTCTTTGATTCTATGATTCTATGATTCATAGTTAGCCTGGGAGAAGTTTGGAAAGGGATTTTCCTTTAAAGTAAAGTAACAGTTAGAAGCCACCAGTTGCACAAAAGCCTGGAAGCATTTGTTTAACCTTTTGAAGACAAAGGAAGTTTCTGTTGATTGTTCACCAATACAAGACTTTGTTATATTTCACAAGCCTTCTAAAGACTATTTATGGTGAAAATCCTTTAGAATTTCTCTTCAGGCCCCCTAGCTTCCTGCTGGGCTAAAGTTGCACGTCCTTGTTTTAAAAGTAATTTGTTTCAAGCCCAGCGCGTGACAGAACAATAATAGGATTTAAAGATCAAACTGCAAAGACTCTGGCACAAGCCAGTCAAGGTGGTCCCAGTGGTGATCGGCACACTGGGTGCAGTGCCTAAAGACCTTGGCCTGCACTTAAACACAATCGGCGCTGACAAAATTACCAGCTGCAGAAGGCCACCTCACTGGGATATGCACGCATTATTCACTGATACATCATAGAATCAAAGAGTTGGAAGAGA